GTAAATAATTCAGATATTCTTTGAGCATGTCGGGATCATGCATCATCTTTTTGATCAAAAAGTCGTTTGCAATTGCCTCGGATGCCATATTAGTAACTTTTTCTGTCTTTCTTTTTTGTTGGAGTAGTTGGCATTTGTGGAGTTGTTGGAGTGGTTGGCTGACTTGTCCACTTGAGCTTGCCTCCAGTTGTTAGAAATCTTATCACGTTTGCTTGGTCTCCAAATTCTTGATTGAATCCTGTCCACCATTTAATTTTGAACTCTCTGACGAGTGACATTGGAAGTAGTTTTTCTAACTCTTGATGAATTTTGAAACTCCAGCAAAAAATCCATGGTACTTTAAATTCCACATGAAATAATATTGGTCTTGTATACTCTTCCCCCTTTGCTTTTTTGAGATAGGTCTGAAATCCCATTAAGACATTTGGAGGTAGTATTTCTTTTTGAGGTCCGAACCATTGCCACCAATGATTAAACCAAATTGGAAATTCTTTGTTACAACTCTCTTTGAATGTGAAGAACCAGGAATGATTGAATGGTCTGTATAAAAAAGTACGATACCATGCCATCTTGTAATCTTGATATGTAAATCCATCTGGAATGAATCTGACTGAAAATGATTTTTTGGAATAAAGAGAAGTCCATTCGTTAGGTGAACAAACTTTCTTTATTATACACTTTGAATGACTAATAATATTTGGATTCTTTTTATCTGGAATGGGGAATATTTCTACAGATTGAGTATCTGTAAGAATTAATTCATAATAATCCAAATTTTTTGAAGGATCATCAGGCTGCCAAAAACATTTTTGAGGAAAGATTCTTTGAGTAAGCTGATTGAGGGTAGAATACAAAGGTATTTCTTGGAATCTAGTTATTGTAATATGCTGATGGAATGGTTTAGTAAAGTAGGTATTTTCATTGGATTTTTCTGGGATTTTTGGAATTTGTTGGATTGATCTTATTTGAGAGGAAATTGGGGTGCGAGTAGCTTGACTGTAAGTCAAAGCTGGAAAATCTTGTAGTATTTGAAATCTATTTTGAGTTACAGGAGTAAGACTCATCTCATAATCTTGAGGAGTCTCAGGTCTAGAGCTTCCTGCTTTTGAATCCATATTCCTGCAAAATCAGTAAATAACATCTTTTAATTGGTTAGATAATTGTTTATTTTGATCCTTGTAATATTGAATAAATTCCTCATTTCTTCCAGCTCTTCGAAGAACTTGAATTCTAATAAGGTTTCTCTGAATTTCTCTCTGGATGAGAAAAGCTCTCTCTTTTGGAGTAAGGGTTGCGTAAGGGCTTTTCTGAATATATACGGTATCATATTTTGGAATTTGATAGACTGGAATACTTTGTCGTCCGTCTCTAATCTAAATGAAATATTGATATCCTCTGGATTGTAGAACTGCTTCTTTGTTTTGTAATCTAGGAGAATCTCTTTGGGTTCTCAGGTAATTTGTAAATTCACGATCAGTTCTTTGAGTAATAAGGTCATGATCCATGTCCTTGTAAATTATCCATTATTCTTTGTGAAAATAAATTTGGTAATCCTGTAATAAATCTTTCTTTCCAAAATGAAGCATTACAATCTGGTCTTCTTAATACATTAGTTAAAAACATATCTTTATACCATCTAAAATCTGATAATGTTGGACATCTTAAATTTGTTAAAAATATTTTATTAGAATTTAATTCTTCTTTTGGATTTCCTATAAAGTACATTACTATGGTTACAATTAAAAATTCTGCAGCATCTGATTGAATTTGAATGTTTCCTTGATCATCTTCAATTTCCTGCGTATGATCTAATATTGATAATTTATCTTGAAGTGTTAGAGCATTATCCCACCAATTTTTTAATTGTCTAGTAAATCCTGAAACTAATAATGTTGCAACACCTTTCTTAGACAATTAAAAATAGGATCTAATTCAAAACAAGATAATATAGTACAAAGTCATGAATATCATATGCCTGTTAATAATTCAAACTGGACAATTCCAGAAGAAAAAATAGAACATATCTATAGAATAGGTCCTTTAGATTTCAAAACAGCCTTATCAGTTAAAACACATGAAGAAACAATATCTATTCAAGAAGAATATCAATCTATTCCATTATTAAATCATAGTACAATTCAAAAATATTTAAGTGAAGGATATCGATATATTCATATAGGTTTAATACAAATTGCAGTAAAACCTTTATTCCATCTAGGAGTCGATGCTCCTGTAATTCTCTTTGTTTTATTGGAGTTAAAAATTTAAAAGTAATAGTTTTTCCCATTATATTTGTTGAAATTCCTTCATGACTTACTGAGAATGGATAAATTTGAATTAAAAAAGGTGTTCCTAATATTATATCTTGATTTATATTTTTTACAATTATGAAATTATGTCTAATACAATATTCATTATTACATATTGATCCTTTTGTAAATTTATATTTTACCTGTAAATTTTCTCCATTTGCTGCCATTAATGTTTCATTTGTCCTTTCATAATATTTAGTAGGAATTATTCCTTCTCTAATACAACTTGAATCAGCTCCACTATCTATTAGAGCTACATATGTTTCTTTGAAATCTTCTACTGTAATGGTTACTAAAGCATACCATTTTTGAAATATCATTTTTTCTATAGTGCATTAATTGTTAACTCAATGATATTATGCATCAATTGTTAATGAAAATAGAAATTACATAAGCTATGAGATTAAGATTTTATACACTATTAGTGCAAAGTTTTTTCACACTAGCAGTTGTAAAAATATGCCACCTGCCTAAAATCTAGCAGTTGTAAAAATATGTTACTTGTCTAAATTTCAAATTTGAAATTAAATTACATGACATATACTGAATACTGCTCATGTATACACTAACGATGCATAAAAATTTAGGATTGGGTACATATTATCACATCTAACCACACCCCAAACTCACATCTAACCACACCACAGGACGGTTGTCACTCACAGTGGTCCATGCCCCAGGTCCATCCTCAAGGATGTTTGGCTACATGCAATGACTTGTCAAGCAATAACTTGACGCAAATGGATTTGAGCTACAATGGTAGAAAGTAATTTATGGCCTATATCAAACCACCTCAACTCGGTCTAATTTGCACCGTTGATATAAAATGATTTGAGTTTCAAATCAATAGTCCAGATCGAAATGACTGGCCTGATTTGAGCCATGGGATGGATGGTGCAGTTGCAAACCCAGCCTTTCATCCTAAGCGAATGCACTTGTCTTGCTCTAAATTATTATTATGAATGATATGTTGTCAGTAAATTATTTACCAAATAGCACATGCACAGAAAAATATGATGTCATTTAGCCTTTAGCTCACTATTTTTCTTTAATCTTTTCTACAACTTTTGTATAAAAGATAGCCGAGAAGAGGAGCTTACTTACATGGTGATAAATGTGAATAGTGTGGTTGTTAATTAAATGTTTTTTGAGTTGTTTTAAAGTTGAATTCTTGTCGTAATAGTTTATAAGCAAGTAGGCCTACATATGACGAACATAGTATGAATTGTGTTTTAGATTGTAAATGTTTCACTGGTTATATCTTTGGAGATGATAGTGATCATTAATCAGTGCCTGACCCAAGACCTCATGGTGAAGGAATGCAACGATCAATTTTTGTATAAATCATGTTCTTAGATTCATATAAGAAATATAATATATACCTCAATTTGAAAGGCCAAATATGAGATCCCGAAATTTATTGGGTTTTTCATGATCTTGTTTTAGAATTGAAGGTATTATGTTTACTTGTTACTTGTTTCTTAACGACTTGTTCTGATGAATTGTAGCCTTTTGAATCTAGTTTCCAACACCATAAAGCATTCTCAATTTGAACTTGTATTGAGTGAGTGGTGGTTTGAGTTCGAAAGTGCAGCAAAGCTGCAAAAGTGGAAATCTTTCTTTTCTTGCTAGCCAAATGGTTAGGTTAGTTTTGGGATGTATTGTTTTGAAAATTTTGATGTCAAACACCCATCCATTGCTCATCAAATGTTCATAGACCCTTGGTTTCAAAGACGGAGTGGCTTGGGGTTGGTTTAGTGGACAAAACTTTTGGAAAAGAAGGAGAACTAAGGTTGGCAGACTTACTTTAAAAATTTTCCCAAACTTCGGTCATTTCATTAAATGATTTTCCATGGGATTTGTTATGTGAAATTGGATAGAGAGGTAGTTCTCATATGGAAGTTTAAGTGTACCAAATTTGGTGTAATTTCAATACCATTTCTATATCCAAATGATGCCCCAAAGATTGCTTGGCAAATCTGGAACTTCACTGTTCTAGTGGTGAAATTTAACCAACTTTAGACTGTGACATCTTCTTACTAAAAACTCCAAATTTAGTTCCGTTTATTGTGTTTGAAACCTTGTTTGGAACTCTTATTGTGTTACGAATTTCAAAGGCTAGTTCACTTTCTGTGAATTTTGCTGAATTTCCAAAGATTGCCGAAAAACAAGACTGAATCTGCCTCGCTTGCTCAGATCAGCCACTTTGGGCTGAAAAAACGAATGCCTTCACTTTAGAATCTTGGAAAAATGTCTTCTAGGAAATTTTAGTACTTTGAACCTAATTTCCAACGGTGCAAAGTTTTCCATTTTTGGACGTGCCAAACTCAAGATTCGATTTTTCCAAAGATCATCATGCAAAGCTGAAATTTCCTAATTTCTTATGAAATGAGTTTTTGAGAACTCGTTACTCTTTCTTTTACACCCAATTTCATGGATGTACTTGGATGTACTATTTTCAATAACTTGGATGTACCCTATATTAGTGTTGGATCAACCTTTATAGAAATGAAAACTAGAATAAGAAATTAGTAGGAATATAACATGAGAATATAGAAGTGAGGGGTAATTGTTAGAATAACTCTTGACCAACCTTGACCAAGACTAGAGTTATGTCTATCCAGTTGAAGTTTCATGCAGCTTTATTCCTTATTCTTTTTCTCTTGCTTTGGTCGGTTCTAGAGAGAGGGGAGGTGAGAGATATTTCTTCTTCATTTTTCCAGCCAAGAGAGTAGGAAAAGTCAAGGAAAGCTGCAGGAATTTTTTTCCCTTGTCCTACTCCAATTTCCCAACCGTGAGAGATATACTTCTCCATTGCCTCCATTTTTAACCAAGTCCAAGTAGCATGCAAGTTGACTAAGCCAAATTTACCTCCTCTTGTTTCTTTTCTTCAGCTTAACCACCGAGAGAAAGAAAAACAATGACAAACAAGACTGGTCACTTGTTTTGTCTCACTTTAGCCGAGAGAGAGTAGAGAGAGTTGAGAGGAAAAATTTGTGCCATGCTTCAACCTTCCAGCCGAGAGGAGCTTGAGAGAAGAATAAAGAAATTTCTCTTGTTTTGCTTCCACTTCAGCCAAGAGGAACCAGAGAGAGAACACTTAAAGGAAGCTTGTGTCTTACTTCCATTTCTAGCTTGCTTGATCGGGTAGAAGGACCAAAACAGGGGAGTTAACTTCTAGCTTGTGTCAAAGGTAACATGACTTGGAATTTCAATTTCTTTCACATACTTTAGAGGGCTTTTGATGTATGTTTGGTTGAGGTTGGATTGAGGTAGAAACAGGTTGTAGAGACTTGCTTTATTGCTGGAAATTTTCCAGCTTGGATTGAACTAGGAATAACCATTTGTTTTCTAGATTTTGGCTCTTGTTTTGCTGCAAGTTACTGGGGAATCCTTGAATCCCTTTTGATAGATGAAGCTTGGTGTAAATATAGCATCCACGTGAGCTAGTGGTTGCTAAAATGAAATTTCCAGATTTGACCGAGGGAGAAACATGAGCTCAATTTACAGCTTTTCTTGTGAAATTTTGAGGAGTTTCCACTAGAAAGTTTTGCTATAAATGTTATATTTCTTGTTTCGTATGATATATAGCATGTTGTCTTTGATCTTGGTAGAAAATTGGTGGCTTAGATGTGAGATTGGCAGCAATAAAGTTGAAGTAACTCTTGTGAAAGTTTGAAATTGTCCGAAGTGGGAGAGAGGAAGAGTTGAGCTTCACCTTTGGTTTTTGTTGAAATTTGATGCTTAAATTATGATAAAGTTACTGATATGAATGTCATACTTAAGTGTATGAGTGGTTTGAATAAATTTTTTGTGGTTTTAAAAGAGAAAAGGAGTTTTTCACAAGTGAAAAATGAGTTTCCAGATTTTCGGCTTTCGCTAATCAGTCTCAGTAAAATGCTTATATCTTCATGTAGAAAAATCCGATTGGGGTGCCGTCAGTGGCATCGGAAACTAGACTCATGGGCCTTCGTTCCGTTAAAATTTCATATTTTTCCTCCTGGCGTACTGCTGTCCGTGATTCCTCAAAGTAGGCTGTCCTGCTTGAATGTCCTGTTTTTGCAGGAAAATGAATTTGTAACTTAGATGATGAATCTGCCCTGTTTTTGCACTGCATGGTTGTCCATGGTAAAGGCCGAACCAGGTCCTGCTCAGAACATGAATTGTAGATACTTGAGTTAAATATATGCCTGCAAAATTTCAGCCAATCGGAGCAACGTAGCCTGTGAAAAGACTGAAATACCCCTGCTGCCCTGTTTCTATCCGAATATGCTAATCAGCTTCTGTAATTGGTTGTTTTGACCAGGAATACTACTGAATTGGTTGTTGATGTCTTCTTAAGAATTATATCCTTGTATCTTAGCTTTCAAATGGCTTTGGAATTACCTGAATTGGAGTTGTGTGTGCTGAGATATGAGTAAATGAATCAGGACTGCTAGTTGAATTTCACAGTGAGGTTCGAACTGGAAAATTAGGAGTTGTTTTGGTAAATTTGACCTAGTTAGGGTGAGAAATGGACTAAGTAGTCTTCATCAAAGTTGTAGCCCTCTGTCTTAGCTTCGCAATGGTATAAATTACACCCCAATCCGATAATTGTAACGCCGGTGGTGTCCAATATGCTAAATGACGTCAAATCTGTTTTTGGGTTTTAGTGTTTAACTTTCATTTCCGGACTTTCCCTAGCTTACTTTGGTACTTATACGTTCTAATGGAGTCTTATTTTTGGTAGTATGTGGATATGGTTTATGACTCGTAAGCGAGTCTCATTGTACTTGTTTGAATGTTTTAGGGCATGACGGTGGTCCGAAACGCTCGTCGGGTGGACAAGTGTGAAAATTCTCTTTGCTTACTTGGTGAGTGTACTACTCACATGATTGATACTTCTTGGCTTTGTTGTACTTGAGATACATGATTGGAATGTTTGTGTTTACTGATGATACTGGTTGAGACGAGGGTGTACTTTACCACTCTCGCACTCTATGGTTTAATTGACTGTTCACTGTATCACTTGAATTGACTTGATTATACTTGAACTGTGTCGTTTGGACGTGTCTCCAACGACTTATACTGTTATCACTAAGTTCAACCCCATTGGTGGTCAATTGAATCGAGCCAGCAAGGGCTTGGTCGAGGAAATTGATAAACCATGGGGACTGTTATAAGGAATCATTGAGTATGAGACTCTTGGTTCCGGTATACTCGAGTATTACCATTTATTGAACTGTTTGGAGTTCGGGACCGGTAGGGGTATGTGAGGTGGAAGGAAATGGGAGTAAAGTGGGGTCTACGGTATTGGTTACTTTTAAACATTGACGGAGTGTCAATGAGGTGAGATCAAGTATGCCGAAAGTGGAAAAGGGCTCTTGAGAGCCGACCATATCCTTTTACAAATCTTCTTGGAATGTGATGTTTGTTGTGCTTACTTGATGAACTTATTTGACTAGTGTATCACTGTGATTTTGTACCCCTTGAATGCCTGAGTAATAGTACCTCATTGGGCGAAAACTCACTCCATTAAATTTTGTTTTCCTTACAGGGAACAACTTTTGAAGACTGTGATATTTTGATGTACGAGTTGAGCTAGTTTTAATACATATTCTGTGTAAAGCTCCTCGATGCTTGGAAACTCTGAATGTACTTGAATCCAAATATTTTCCTTTTATTTGTAAATTACAAACGTATATGTATAAAACTATTTACCCTGTTCACGTATCCTATTTGGTTTGGAAATGTTTTCCCGAGTTATATGGCTATATCTGTATTCGGTTGGCTTCTAGTTGGATGGTGACGTGGCAACCACTATTCATTGTGGTTTCGATTTTCGTTTTGCCATTTGGCGACTTTGAATCGTTTGAGCGCGCTATTACCTTCCCGAACGTTTTCGATTTCATTTAACTGCTCATTAGTCCTGGCGAGAGCTGGGCAGACAGTCCGCTAACCTCTTTGGTATGCCTTAGGGGAAGGTGGGGCTGTCACACCAAATCCTTTTTTCCATTAATGTGTCATTAATGTTTAATTTGAAGTACGTCCAATTTTTTTCAAAAGGAGCTGATCAATAAAAATTTTTATTTTTGCAGGGGTCAATGCACAATAAGGAGGGAATATATAGATGTTAAGAGGATAATCTATTGGAGGGAATATATAGATGTTAAAAGGATAACCTATGTATGAAAAGAAAATTTCGTAAATCTAACTGAGCAATGCAACGAAAGGACAGAATTTATATGGACTATGAAAGGTCATTATATGCAACTAAAGGTCATTGATGTTACGAGGTTGGTATATGCACTATGAAAGGTGAAGTCAGAAGCATGATTTATATACTGTATCGGATTGCTGCAACGACCATCATATCGATCATTAGCATGATGATTACCAACATCATGATTCCCTATGATTTTCAAAAAAGTTGATGCCAATCCAATTTGGGATCAAAAGGTGAGGGGGAATTTTGACCTAATATATTGTCAACAAAATGATTTCTGTACGTATTCCTCTCAAGTAAACTCGTATATTATTTCCTAACAAGAAGCTTTCTTGAAACTAGTTTACTTTTATCTTTATACAACCAAATAGAACTTATAATGGTGGGAACAATACAAACAGAATATAGTTCAAAATTCTTGCTAGTTAACCTACAATCGATGGAATGAATTTTAACATATAGTTAAATGAAACCTAAATATATTGAGCCTTTCATCCATGACTTTTAATTTTTAGGAACTTGGACTCATACATTTAAATTAGGATAATGATTTATATACTTGTAATTTTACTATTCCTTTTAGTTTCCTATTAGGTCAAAGACAAAAAAAAAAATTTATTCTTTGAGCTAAAACTCATTCATATTAGCTTGTTCGCATTGGAAAAACTAAAATAGAGACAGATACAAGTAATTTTTTTATTGCATTACCTTTACTTTTCCTAAGAATTACCTTTGAACTAGGGTAAAAGAATAATAGTCTAACAAAAGCAATTGATATTTTTTTTTAGGAAAAGCATTTGATATTTAACTCCATTGATCACGTGCTCAAATCCAAGGTATCTTCAGTGTTAAGACAATTGTTTTTGGTTGTTTGTCTAGCATTACAAGCAATTACTTTTGCTCCTCTAAACCTTGGAAAGCGAAACCACCGGGTTTTGATTCAGTGGTCATCAAAAGGGGATTAAATTCCTCTTTGAATTATAGATTCGGGATTCAAATTCACCTACAATGAAAAAAATTCAAAGAAGTATCAAAGTACTCCTTCGGTTTAGTCAAATTTGTATACCTGCTAGTTCCTTATACAACTTCTTTAAGCTCCCATTCCCTTTAGAATAGGATAGATTATATTATAGGAATGTTCTTGTACAATTTTTTTAGACTCCTCCTTTATGTAGAATAAGGTATATTAAGTTATAGGAATATTATGACTGTGAAAAAAAAATGTGAAGTTCTTTCTCTTATGCGATTGGTCACCTCAAAGTCCCAGTTTATCGTACCATTCTATTCTTTTCCATCCAATATTGTTCGACTGGCCCAGGCCAAGTGAGAAACAAGTGAATCGTGGTACCCAAACAGGCCACCCTAAGAGGGAGAATAATTGAAGGAAGGGCCTCTTCTTCCACTCAGTACAGGATAGATGCCAAAGCAATTTAATTTTTTCAACGTAAGATGGACAGCAACAGGAACCTTCATGCAGAGCAGTATCTGGCACGTCGCATTCAGCAGATGCTTTGTAAAGTAAAGTAGAAGGATATATGTGGCTGTAAACACCATTGAAGTAGAAGGAAATATGTGTCTGCAATTTCCTGCGTTTACAAGGATATGTCAGATGACTATTAGAATGGAATATACTTTTCTTGCATTTCCAAGTCGGAGGGGGCGATTTGAACCAATGATCTCTAATTTTAGGAGACTTAATTTTAATCATCGAATAATTTTTTATTTTATTATTAGTTTTTAATGTAAGTAAGAGAACTTGAATTTGAAACTTCTCACTTACATTTCTTATTCCAATACCACTTAACGCATTCTCCCCCCACCAAACTATAAAACGGAAATTACAAGTTTTACAAGAAAAACTTTTCATTGTTTTTATCATAATGCTGTTTACCACCACTTTAGATTTCAAATATAAATATCGTGAAAGTATCATAGAAAAATTCTTATAAAATCCTTTCAGAAAATGCAATGTAAATTTAATTATGGTTAGACTTCCTTGTCTTACAACACTTTAATTTGTAGAAAAATTAGGAACTTCTGCGATGAAAAGCACTGGTTGCAGAATTTCTTGTGATGAAACCCTATTGTGTTGTTCAATTAACCATACTCAGATTTCTTTTTTCCTTTTGGGGTGTAAGAATTACTAATAAATTCAGGCAACAAGAACATAATGATGTCAACATTAAAAGTAGAACGCAGGAAACAAGTAATAACTTCAAAATCCCCACATAATTGACAGGGACAACAATAGCGTTTAAGAACCAGCAAAAGCATACGAAAGATAACTGAAAAATCAATATATATCCAGGTGAAAAATGCAAAGATTATCACCAATGGCCAAAAGATGCGTGGACCAAGAATTATAAATTCTGAAGCCAACGAAGAGGACAAAATCAGATTTTTCTTTTCTTTTTTCTTTTTGGAAATAAGAAAACAATACAATCTAATGGGGTTACACAAATAGGGATAAATCATTTTTAAAATGCGCAGAATACTATGAATCTATAATTGAGTTGTTTTCTTTCCCATGATGCTAATAATTGACGAATATATATTGACAAAATAAAGTTTCAATCTGACATTTTATTTTCTTAATTTTAAAAGGCTTATAGCGGCCAATTGTAGGCTGTCTCTGAAAATAGATTCTGAATCATATGTCGTTAAGCTTATGGCGCAATCCTGGTCTATCGATTGAAGAAGAATTGCCTAGAAAATGCTAGTATGTATATCCTAAAGGTATAAGCTTTGTTGATGTAATTTAAATATTTACATCTAATAAATGATATGTTATTTTGATAATTGCATTGTTATTTCACTTGAATAGATCAAGTCTTGAGATGGTGTCTCTAAAATAAACTTATGCCTACGTAAACAAAACCATAAGTGTTATGATAATAAGATACATTTAATTAGAGTTTACTTTTAAAGATCACTAGTCAATAATATTAATAGAAGATACTCTTAATAGGGATAGACTAACACATACTGTATTTCTTCCTTCTAAAGGAATTAGTATATATATCCCAATTATTATAACGTGTAAACATCAAACTAGTTGTGTGAGTACTCAATAAGCTGAACAAGTTAACTGGATTGATTTATATGGAAAATATTATGAGTAATTTTTTATATCCACTTTCAGTGTATACACTATCACGATGGATAAATGACACATGAGCAAATTTTAATTTCAAATTCAAATTTTGTACATGTGCCATATATCTAATGGTGATAATGTGTACATTGGTAGTGTATATAAGATTAATCCAAATATTATATGCATAACTATTTGAGTAGCAGTGATATATTTTCTAAATGACATGTGTAAATGATCCTTTTTACTTGAGATTATCATAGTATTTTGAGCGTGGATTGTTATATTTTGACTCTATTGATCATATGCGTATAATTACAGATTACATATAGTATGAAGTATGAAAAGATAATGACAATCTACAAGGCTCTAGCACCTTTAATAGTAAAAATTATCTCGACAGCTACTCGCTAAAACATAGCTTAAGAAATCTTGGTACTAAATGAAAAAAATTTTAGATATGAGCATCTAAGTATCTACTCACTGACAGTTATCTTTTGGAAACAAAAAAACCTTTAGTCTCATTAGAGTTGGCACATACTCCATACTCTAGATTAATGTGAGATAAGTATCATAAGATATATTAATTACATGGTATTTGCGCATAGAAAAGTGAATTATCTACTTGACTCTTCTCTTTATTTGGGCGGTCCTGATGCTTTGCTAAAAACTTATCTTATTCTATAAGTATAAGTTAATTGATTAAGTTTAATTGATCATAAATTAAAGAGTTTAATTTATTTAGTTCTTATCATTAAGAATTTTAATTTTTATTTAAGAACTTCTTATGCAAGAGTAACAGATATCCAAGTGAAGACTAGAATGATAAACTTTTAAAATTTATAGACAAATTAAACATATGGGACTTATGATGCAAATAAGATGAAGTCTTATAAAATAATATTTGTTTTTGAAGGTGGAAACTAAATCCTTTTAAAAGTTGCTTAAGCAATTTCTGTAAGAAGTAGAAATTCTATTTGTCGAAAAAAATTTACCCTTATAGTTTAAACGAGGGTTAAATGCACTAAACCCTCTAAACTTTGCCCCAACGCTCTACTTCTCTAAACTTATTTAATTGATACTTCACCCCATGCCTGATGTCTTACGAGGAAAGTACCTTTCTATATAAATTATTTTATACTTTTTTCTCCTTTTTTTTCCTTTTCTATATGTCCCTTTTTTTAATTTTCTCCTTGCTCTCATGTGACCAAGTACTTTCTTCTCTTTTCTAATATCATCTATACATTTTTTTAATTTGCTAAAATTTATCCTTTATTTATTTATATCTTTTTAAATCTTTTATTATTAGAAGTAATAATGATCACAAAGTAGACGCTATAACAAAGTATAATTTAGCTATGTGAATAGAATATTTCAAATAGTATTTAAATTAATACATCTAAAGTTTAAAAGTAATTAGTATTAATGGCAAATGTAACAAATAAGCAGATCAT